CGGATGAACGGAGGAGTCACACTGTTTCAACGTACACACAGTTCGAAGTCCTCTGTTCCAAGCCGTATTTCAAACAAAGGGGAAGAACAGCCGCATGCTCGCTAGACCGTTCTTCTATGATGACGGCATCTTCAAGAGGACGTGTTGTGATTGTTACACGTGGGCTGCAGGGGGGTGAATAGGTGGATAATGGGATTCAGCACTCCCTTCAACGATGCTATGGCTCTGGTCGGATACAGTGAGAGTGGCCACAACACCCCTCAGCCACTCCCACTGTCACCCACTCGCACGCCACACGCAGAGAGAGAGAGAGACATGACATAGAGAGAGGGAGAGAGACATGCCATAGAGAGGGAGAGAAAGCCGTAATTGTGGTTGGTTTTCCCATGTGGCCGCATGAACATCCACTGAACGCCCTTGCCATCATCGTGTCCGTATGCATTTTCCCGTGTAATTCATGTTGTGCAGCCTGTCGACCGCCCCCCCACTCCACACCAACAACAATCGAACGCCCATACACATCGTCGTCATCGACTGCACAACTTTCGAACACATCCATTGTGATGGTTGTCTCAACGCACACAGATGCCCGTAGAGAGAGAGAGAATGAGAGAGAGAGAGAGATGAAACCACAGTGGTTTCTCGCAACAGTGCGCCATACGATCATCATGATGAACAGCGCTGACAATCGGAGGGCGTTGACATGTTATAATGTGCAGCCCCACCCCCGACCACGGACGGGCAGTTCCAATGGTGTGGGAAAAACCGTAACCACCCACTCTCACCCTCTCCCTGCACCACACTCCCGGTCACCTCAATCAGAAGCACTCATGGCCGTGAGCACATCCGTTACCCCACGGTGCATATCGACATGCGTCTGCAACAGAGAACCAGGTCCACAAGTCACGCTCTACTGCCGTCAATCCAAGGTGATGTCAGTCCATTGACAAGCCCATCTCTCGCGCCGTCCATTGCGGCCTCTGTCCTTCTCTGTATCTTTCCCTGAGAGCTGTCGCTATGTTCAACCGCAAACTCTCCACCCACGCCCCACGGTGCTGTCAGCCCATTGAAGCCCATTGAAGCCCATCTCTCGCGCCGTTCATTGCAGCCTCTCCGTCCTTCTCTGTCCGTCTCCTTCAGAGCTGTCAGTATGTTCAGCCGCAAACTCTCCATCCACGCCCCCGACCACGAATGCGCAACTCCTATGACGTGGAGAAATCATGCCCACCCACTCTGACGAGTTATCCGTATTACTCATGCCCGTCAGTGCAATACTCAACGGAGTCGACTCATGGCCGTCACACCATCCGTTACACCACCGGTCATATCCAGGGAACGTGCTCCAAAACTTTGCTGGAGCTCTGCTGCCGTCCACATATGGTTAATAGGTGGTGTCATTTTCAGCGGACTTTTTTCCCGAAACTGCCACATTTTCCCGAATTGGTGAATTTGTTGTTGTTCGTTTTTGCGTGGTATGTACGTGCTTTAGGGTATATGTATTTTAAGTTTCACTGTATTTGGACCGCTAACAAAAAAGTTGGCAAAAACACCGAACTCGGGAAACAAATTCGCGAACTTCGAATACTACTCCGAATAGGGTTTAATACTATAGTAGTGCATTTTATTTTATTTTTTTATTTTTTTTTTGCCTGTTTGACTTTTTGATGTTTGTATTATGAGCCTGCATCGTTTGTTCGCGAAATTTTTGACGGCATTGTTTGTGGAGTTGCGCCGAAAAACACCGAATTTTTGGCCTTCCATTAACCATCTCTCCTGCCGTCATACCACAGCAACGTTAGCCCATCTCCAGCACCGTCCATGGCAGCCTCTCTCTCTCTCTCTCTCTCTCTCTCTCTCTCTCACACACACACACACACCGAGATCATGGACTGCACACATCGGCCACACGACGCAACTTTCACACGGGCAGAGAACATCAAGTGCACTGTAAGCACCGTCGGCACACTACGCTGTTCCCACAGGCCACAAGACAGTCTTCCGCTCACGGGCTCAAAACCGTGCCACGGCACAGCGAGGGCTTCAAGAAAAACCCTTCCACAGGCTTCCAGGGGCCGAGGTCGGGGTTTCGAAAATTAAGTTAGCCATTAATCGAAAAGCTGAAAATTAAAAACGGGTCCTGGTTTCGTGCATACCGCGACCCATCAGAGGAACAAGAACCACGAAACCGACGGAGGTACATAACTCGAAAACGAAATGGCTCATTTCTCCCTGCCATCCAAGAGAGAAATTAACAAAACTTGGCTTTCTATTGTTGGCCGTACGATGGACATTCGTCTACGGTGGCCGTGGGCGTCGCACACGCCGGGACCAAAACTGAACACGTCGTAGTGGGACTTGGCCCCGGGTGCATTGGTGGATGTATAGACTCGTCAGGCATCCTCCCATGTACACAGCCCCTTGCCAAACGGCGCCATACTCAGCAACTACCTTCTTACCCCGAACAAGAAACCCGGTCATTGCATCTACATCCGGCCTGAAAAGTTGTACGAAACACATCTGTACCGAATGATGTGTTAGGCGATGATGAACATGAAACACATCTGTACCGAATGATGTGTTAGGCGATGATGAACATGAAA